CTATCAAAGGCAGAGGAACCAGAGATCAAATTGCCAACATCTGTTGGATCAACGAAGAAGTAAGAGAGTTCCAGGAAAACATCTACTTCTGCTTTATTGACTACACCAAAGCCTTTGACTGTGTGGATCACAACAAACTGTGGAAAATTCTGAAAGAGATGGAAATACCAGACCACCTGACCTGCCTCCTGAGAAATCAATATGAGGGTCAATAAACAACAGTTAGAACTGGACATGGAACAAGAGACTGGTTCCAAATTGGGAAAAGAGTACATCAAGGCTGTGTACTGTCATTCTTCTTCTTTAACTTATATGCAGAGTACATCATGTGAAATGCCAGGCTGGATGAAACACAAGCTGGAATCAAGATTGCCTGGAAAAATATCAATAACCTCAGATATGCAGATGACACCACCCTTATGGCAGAAAGCAAAGAACTAAAGAGCCTCTTGATGAAAGTGAAAGAGGAGAGTGAAGCTGGCTTAAAGCTCAAGTTTCAGAAAACTAAGATCATGGCATCTGGTCCCATCAATTCCTGGCAAATAGATGGGGAAACAATGGAAACATCACCCACCAAGACAGATTTTATTTTTGGGGGCTCCAAAATCACTGCAGATGGTGACTGCAGTCATGAAATTAAGAGATGCTTATTCCTTGGAAGAAAAACTATGACCACCCTAGACAGCATATTAAAAAGCAGAGACATTACTTTGCCAGCAAAGGTCCATCTAGTCAAGGCTATGGTTTTTCCAGTAGTCATTATGGACATGAGAGTTGGACTCTAAAGAAACCTGAGCACCGAAGAATTGATGCTTTTGAGCTGTGATGTTGGAGAAGACTGTTGAAAGTCCCTTGGACTGCAAAGAGATCCAACCAGTCTATCCTAAAGGAAATCAGTCCTGAATACTCATTGGAAGGACTGATGTTGAAGCTGAAACTCCAATACTTTGGCCACCTGATGCAAAGAACTAACTCCTTGGAAAAGACCCTGATGCTGGGAAAGATTGAAGGCAGGAGGAGAAGGGGACAACAGAGGATGAGATGGTTGGATGGCATCACCGACTCCATGGACATGAGTTTGAGTAAACTCCAGGAGGTGGCGATGGACAGGGAGGCCTGGCATGCTGTGGTCCATGGGGTCACAAAGAGTCGGACACAACTGAGCGACTGAACTGACTGAACTGAACTGTGTTAATAGCAATATTCTTCTTCTGGGCAAGTGACAGTGACTCAAACAGCCCTTCCCACAGGAGTCGTGTCCCCCACCAGGACGTCACCCACTAGGACCAGCTGGATACTTTCCTTCCTCTCCTAATTTCTGAGTAAATCTCTAAAGGTCACAGGGTTGAGGTTCCTCTCCTTGAGAGCTACCCATGGGAAGTCCAGCTGTGCCCTTCGAATGGCAAAAACCTGGGGAATCACAGGCATTCTTCTAGATTTGGTTGGCTTGTAAGTCTCTTCAATTAGTAAGCATGCTTTGCCTCTGGGCTCTGTGTGACTTATGGAGTTTGCCCCAGGTCTACTCTCTCTGCACAAATTTCCTTAATGGAATGAGGCTTAGATTAGCTTTGAGATTGGGAAAGTTGACAGGCCCAGGTCAATGAGGAATTGCTTTAGTGCTTTCCATTCCAGAAATGACTCTGGTCTCAGAAACTTCCCCTGAGCCCCTTTAATTGGAGTGGCTGTGGGTCCTGGTTTGCCAGGACCATCCTTCCTTATCCCTCCTGTCAGTATCTCATCTTTCACCCTCAGTAGCACCCCCATTTGCACAATAAGCAGTGTGATTGCCCTGTATCTAACCCATCTTTGCTCAGTTTCACCTGAGGAAGAAAAGGAGGGGTTGACTAGAATTGGTCCAGAAGGATCTATTTAGATTCTAGGGAAAGAGGCAGAGGTGGAAGAGGTTAACTTCCTAGTGCCTGTGCATTGAATGCTGGGGCAGGGTTGTCTGAGAAAGATGAGGAAAGGACTGTAAAGGTTTGGGAAGAGAGGCCTCCCTGGGTCAAGGGAGGGTGGGGACCAAGTGGAGTTTCTCCATCTCTGTGATATTTCCAGGAGTGAGAAGGTGACAAGCCCCAAGTCATGCATCCTCCAGAGGACATTTGTTCCTCACCTTGACACCCCCCCAGGTGCCCACCATCAACCCCCCCAACATCCTCCCACCTGCTAATACCACTGCTTTTAGCACCCCAAAGATGACAGCCTCTGAACCCGCAGAGCCTCCTCTGCTCCCCCTCCACCCCGATCTCGTCCCTACAGCAGGTCAGGTTTCTCCTCATAGGTCTCTTGCACAAACCTTTGCCTCCCGCACTGCCTGCTCAGTTCACTCCTCCTGATCCACAAAACGCCCTGTTCTCTCCGAGGCGTTTGTTTCTCCTTTAGCTGCTCATCTCCCCATTCGACCCTTGTGAGGAACCACCACACATGTCTAGAGTGGAAGGTACTTTTGTAGGTGCTGGTCTAGAGACTAAACTCAGTCTCCTTTAAGTCAACACCAAAACAAGCAAACAACAACAGCAACAGCAAATTAAAAAAGAAAACCAAAAAACTGCGGTTTGAGAAATACTCAACTCAGGAGTCAGATACTCCTGACTGATGGTAAGTTACAAGCATGTGATGAGCCTCCCAGGCCATCCTTCACTCGGGCCATGTCCTTTCCTGGCCTGTGTGAGTCAGGTCCAGAGAACCCCTCATCTCCCATTCCTAATACGCAGCGTAGGGGGGTGGGTAATGTCACCCCAAATTCACGCCCACCGAACTTCAGACTGTGACTAACTGGGAAATAAGATCTTTACAGATGTAATTTGTTAAGAATCTCAGGATGAAATCCTTCTGAACGGAGGGTGTGTCCCAAATCCAATGACTTGTGTCCTGATAAGTGAAAGGAGGGAACTTACACACAGACATGGGGAAGGACATATGCAGACCGAGATAGAAGGCAGGGGCGACGCTGCCTTGAGTCCAGGAGGTTGGGAGCTGTCAGAACTGGGGAGAAGCAGGGAAGGATTCTCCCTTAGAGTTCTGGAGGGGAGTGCAGCTCTGCCAACACCTTGATTTTTACTTTTGGCCTCTGGAACTGTGAGAGAACGCATTTCAATTGCTTTAAAGCATCAAGTGTGTGGTTCTTTAAAGCATCAAGTGTGTGGTTCTTAGCAGCACTAAGAAATAAACATACTGAGGATTCAAGGTATCTCTAGTCCATTGCTCTGGGTTCTGCCCTCGCCTTCAGGGTCACCCAGAGATTTCATAAGCGACCACACGCTCTTGGTCACCACCTGGGCAAAGCTTCCTGAACTACCCTCTTCAGAAGAATGTGCTACAGTTTCATAGCTTACCAGTCATTTGATTCATAGTTTCCTCACCTATGAAATCAGGAGAAAAAAATTACCTGCTCGTGGGATGGTTGTGGGGATTGGTTGGGACAACGCGTGTGCCAGGGCCCAGCCTGGAACAAAGCAGGCGATGAGGACTCCATCTTTCCCACCATCTTCCAGATTTCGGAACTTCTTTTCTCATTCCCGACATTCTGCCTCAACTCACTTACCCAGGGTCTCTCTCCCTGGTCTGCCTCTGTCCCCCAATGACATTCCTCTCCTCCCTCCCCATCCCTGCCCCAGTGATTGTAACCTGCAATTAGCACTTGCCCCAGTAAGAGAACTGTCTTCCCAAAGAGTTGTCTGCACTCAACATGCTCCATTTAGGGTGGCCTGGCCTCCATCCCAATGAGAGAAGGAGCTTCTGTTAGAAGGGCTTCATGGGTATAGCACCCCAACCCACACTGGACCCTCTCCCCATCTCTGTTCCTCCCCACCATGGGGGCATGTCTGCCCCTATGTATCCTGCCTCTGTGAAATCTCCAGGTTTCATGCTTCAGCTTTTTCAGCTCTATGCTGTCTTTAGGATTCTAACCTAGACAGGCAGAGTAGAACTAAATCTCAAGCCCAAATTCTGAAACCAGATAAGATGGAAGTGTTAAGAAACAAAGATAAACCCTAAATGCACAAGAAGTGAAACTTGAATTTGGAATTGAGAAATGACCAGACATTCCAACCCACAGGTGGCCCCGTCCTCTGTCCAGCACTGAGGTGGGGATTATGGTTCCCTTCCATTCATTCTTTTTTTTCCTTCCATTCATTCTTGAAAAAAGTGGAAGTGTTAGTTGCTCATTCCTGTCTGACTCTTGGTGACCCCATGGACTGTAGCCTCTGAGGCTCCTCTGTCCAAGCAATTTTCCAGGCAAGAATACTGGAGTGGGTAGCCATTCCCCTCTCCAGGGAATCTTCTTGACCCAGCAGACCCAAATTCAGGTCTGCTGCATTGCAGGCAGATTCTTTACCATCTGAACCACCATCTGCCCTCAATATGCAGGTTTTCCAGAGCCCAACTTCTTGCCCTTCAGACTAACCCTACACATGGGGGCCCAGAGTGCCTGGATGTGGACCACAGCATCCCATGAGGATGAACAAGAGGAAGTAGCATTGGTCAGAGAGGAGGATCTATCACTCCATATGCCTCTGCGTGTGTGTATGTGTGTTAATCACTCAGTCGTGTCCAACTCTTTGTGACCCTATGGACTGTAGCCCACCAGGCTTCTCTGTCCTTGGGATTCTCCAGGCAAGCTGGAGTGGTTTGCCATTCCCTTCTCCAGGGGATCTTCCCGACCCAGGGATTGAACCTGGGTCTCCTGCACTGCAGGCAAATTCTTTACCGAGCCTGAGGGGTGGTGATTTCCCCAAATCAGAGGTAGATGAATGAAGGGCAGGATACCACAGACACTCCTGGACACAATCAAGCCCATCATGACACTTTTATTGATTCAGCCAATTTCAGATTTGGGATGTGGCATTCCACCTGCAGGGAAGTTGAGGGAAGGGGCAGACATCTGTAAAGGAAGGAGATGAGAGAGAGAGAAACTCTTGAGGAACATAGACTGGAAAGATGTTAAGGAGAATCCAAGGCCACGATAAAGAATGACTCGGGGTGCACTTTTGGAGCTGGTCTCAGGAATCCTTTTTCTTAACCTGAGGAAGAGAGGATGTCGTCAGGATGCCAGGGGCCATGGAACAGTAGGACTGGGTCAGAGGATGCTGATTCTGGGGTCTGATTTTTGGGGAGGGCTCTCCCCATCCTTCAAAGCCGTGCTCTGTCTGCGATGATCTCTGTACTTTCTCCCCAGTCTGGCAGCATCACTGTGATGTCCACGGAGATGTCAGGACACAACTCTGAGACCCCTCAGCTCCCCTGCATGATGCTCCACACTTTCCCTTCATCACCCTCTCATCCTGCCCCCCTCCTCACCATGGCCATCAGCACCAGGGCGCTGACCAGCACAGCGTACAGGGTGGCCTTCCCCAGCAGGATCTCATAGAGGAGGGTGGCAGACAGGACCCCTTGCTGATAAGATGCTGTTGGCAGGAAGGGAGAGCAGGTAGGTACCTGTGAGCAGGTATCTCTGGCCTCCTCCCCCTCAACCAGTGTCCATGGCTTCTCTGTCTCTGGTTCCAGAGAAATGACCATGGAGATGGAGACAAAGAAGCAGAAGGCTACTCACCAGAAGTGACACCACAGTCTGCAAGAAAAAAGGGGGAGGGAAACAGATGAGAGACTGCATCTTCTAAAGCAGATTCAAACCTAAGCCAGCCTTTCTCAGTCCAATAGCTGGCAAGATGCTAAATCTTGGCAACAACCACATGAACGAAGGAGTGGATCCTGCCCCAGCTGAGCCTTCAGAGAAGACTCCAGCTTTGGCTGACATCTGATTGTAGCATCTTGAAATAAATGAGCCAGCTAAGCTATGCCCAGATTCCTGATACATTAAAACCAAGCAATAATAAATATGTGGTATTTTGAGATGCTTAAAACAAAACAAATAGATGAAGAAGACCTACTAAGTTAGCTTTTAGTCACACCGGCCCCCAGGCTCAGAGCAGCCTCTGATCAGAGTCCTAGCACTGCCTGTACCAATGTGGCCACAGCATCCTCAGAGTCATGGGAGGAGGCAGCACTGAAGGGGATGGGGACCCACCCCTGAGACCCTGAGCTGTGCAGGCGGGCAGGGAGGGGACCCACCAGCACCGCTGAGTTGGGCTGAGGATCTGGACCTGGGGGAGGAGTGAGCCCGAGGAGGTGCCCTGTCCACCCTCTTGGTGGGCTCCCCGACCCCTCACTCTGTGTCCAGCCTTCCCACTCCTCTCCCTGGATCTCTCCTCTGTCGGCTCTGACTCCGCTCTGGCCGGCTCACCTGCTCTGCCCCAGGCCTCGGCGCTGATGTTCTGGGTGACGGGCTTGGCCCTGTCCTTCTGCTCCCACGTGTCCTCGTCCGTGAGCCCGTGGAACTGGACTTGGCAGCGGAAGTGGTTGCGGGGGTTGTGCCAGAAGGCGGCGGTCACTCTCAGCCGGCTGCTCAGACAGTATCTGGAGTCCTCCCGCGTGGGGTCCTCCTTGTAGGGCTCAGGGTCCGTGCTGACCCCAGTGGTGACCTGCTTCCTGTTCACCCACCAGGTCAGCTCCACGTGGTCGGGGTAGAAGCCCGTGGCCAGGCACACGAGCGTGGCCTTCTGGGTCCGGGAGATCTCTGCTTCCGAGGGTTCGAACACAGCCACCTTGGGCGGGTGCACCCGGCTCAGATCATCTGGAAGGACAGGGGTGGGGGCCAGGACCGGCCTGAGAGCTGGCTGGGCGTGGGGGCTGTTTGTGTGTGTTTGTTTGTGTTTGTGGGTATATGAGTATTAGAAGGCAGGGAAGGGAGGCTCAGGGTTACCCTACAATAAAACCATGTAGCAGTCTGCCCTGTTTGTTTGGGAGTCACCACCCCACTCCTCTGCTCCTGTTCTCCCTCTGTCTGCCTGTCCCTTATACTCACCCTAGGACAAGCCCGTCTTGTCTGTCTCTAGCCCCCTAAGGTGGCCTTACAAATGGCACTGCCTGACATCTGAGCAAGTTTTCTTCTTTCATGTTATTTGATTTCTTACTCAATGAGAAAAACTTACCTGTCTTTTTTCTCATCATAATTTATAGTAGTTATTTAAATAGAGAGCTGGATTGGAACCAGAATAACAGAAGTCAAAGCTTGACAGTGACTTTGCCCACCAACATGACTTTAGACAACCCCTGAATGCCTCTGCATGATTTTTCCTGCTTGTGAAGGGAGAATCCTAGCACTGACTGTCCAGAGTAGGGGTGGAGATGGCCTGACATAAGGATGCAGGAAGCCTCTGCCATCAGCTGGGTTAGCTGTATGTGAGCCTGGGGGCTGAGGAGTAGAGGGGATTTGAGTATAAGGGGCTCATTATGGGGTTGGGGGCTTTTCTTCAAATACATACAGATGGCATATTTTTGTGCACTCACGTGAAGACAGCATTTTGTCTCAGGATGTGCTCATAAGAATAGGAGGCTTTTTTCTTTCTGGTGTCTCAGCAGGTCATCCTAGCCATTCCTCTGCCTCCAGGTACCCCTGAGTTGCCTCGGCTCAGAGAAATCACCATCTCCTCATATTTTAAATTCAAGCATCTTCAAACTCCTTTGTCCCTTTGATTCCACATCTTCTGTTTTTCCCTACCAGCAAGCTTCCTAAATATGCATCTGAGATCATCAAGCAACTTCTGCTCCCAGTTGTCTTGATCCAGCTAAGCCTCTGGTGTGTAGCATCCTAGAGGGCCCCAGTGAAGGCATTCCAGTGAAAGCCCCTGCGGCCTTCTCATCTGACTGGCTTATTGCTTCTGGACCCTCTTGACATACATTTCATCTTGCTCTTTGCATTATATGGATTATTTTGTTTGTTTCTGAGTAACTCTGTTAAAGGGAAGATGTCTCAATCTAAACTTCTTTAGATGTCTGAATCAATTTCTTCCAGCCTAATTTAGCCTAATTTAGGCTGGAAGAAACGAAACAAACAAACAAAAAAATGTTCCTGTGACACCACATTTCCATGGATGGATTTCCCCAAAGAATCTGCCTGCAATGCAGGAGCTGTAGGAGATACTGTTTCAATCCCTGGGTCAGGAAAATTCACCAGGGAAGGAAATGGCAACCCATTCCAATATTCTTGCCTGGGAAATCTCATGAACAGAGGAGCCTGGATGAGGAGGTGGAGGTGGTCGAAAAAGGGTCTGATACAACTTAGAGACTGAACAATGATGACATAACAACTTGACTTCAGGGCTGGCTTCCTGGGTGTGTGACCTATGCGCACATATTCACTCCCACAAGGTCACTGGCTCATTAAAGGACCAGGGCTTGGGTCCCAGGTGTACCTGTTCTGAGGTCTCCTGCTCTTCTCCACCCTGGCTGATCACAGGAACCCAGCTGTCACTGGGAACAAACACTTCAAACTGAGCCCCACTGGTTCCACCCTAACCAGTCTAACTACAGACACGCTTGCTGTTATCATATCATCCAGTAAACACAACAGTATCAAGGGGTTGTTCCCCTCTGGAAGCTCAGTGCTTCCATCACCAGGTGACACTGAAGATCCCTTTCCAGCGCTAAGATCCCCTTGGGAATGTTCCCGGCCTCAGAAGGAAAAATATGTCTATTTGAATATATGTCCTGCACCATCTGGCTGCTTAACCTCGAAGACCTGGTGTGAGGAGGGAGATTTCAGGCTCGGGGGCGGGGGGTGGTGGTGGTGAGGGGGCTCCATATGATGAGTAAATGCATCCAGTGGCCCAGGTTCACACCAGCCCGTGTGTGCTGTACACACAGCCTGGCCGGCAGGGGTCTGGACTTAGGTAGAAAGGAAGAGGTTGGAAACCTAAATTTAAATCCAAACTTCCAAACAGTAAATCGACAACCCCCCCTCACTATCTCCGGTGGGTCTGTCTCTTTCACGTCCCTTCTCCACTCCTGCTGGTCATCTTGATTCTCCGTTCAGCAGAAGCCTGCATCTCCACCTTCCGGGAGCTGGGCTCTGCAGTGGGCTCACCGTCCTGAGCTCATCCTGCCTTCCCTCTCCCCATCTCGTTTTCCCCTTGGCAGCAGCTACACCGCTCCTACCCTTCCCCCAGCCCCGATCGCCCTCCTCAGTCTTTTTCTCCAATCAAGCCAGTCTCAGAGTCCTAATTAGTCCTCTCTCCATTGCTCACCCGGTCCCCAAATACCCCAGAAAAAAAGACACTGAAGCTCCCCCCCTCGCCCTCTGTCCGCGTTCCCGGACTAGAATACCCCCTATCCAATACTCCCTGCCTCCTTGCCGAGCGGACCCCCCAGAGGCACAACTGGCCAGGCGCCCCAGCCCCAGCGCACCGCCCCCATCTCCGGGAAGCAAGGGGCTGCGCCGAAAGGAGGGGAGAAGTCCAGATCTTACCTACGACAGCCAGCTTGGTGCCTGGGCCGAAATACTGCTCATATGAGCACGGAGGAAGAGCCCCGCACTGAAACCCCCCACCCCCGCAGCTCCCAGCGGCTCCCGCTCGCTTCCCGGTCCCAGCGCTCAGCTCCAGGACAGGCAGGGGACCAAGTGCCCGGAGCCGACCCGCCCTGACCCCGCCGCCTCCCGTCCCGCCCGCCGCCCGCGACCAGTGCGCGGACACTCACCCACCACCGTCAGCCGGCTGCCGGCCCCGAAGGTCAGGGCGGCGCCTGTAAAGCACAGCCCCGGGGTGCCCCACAAAAATCGAGGCGCGCCGCCAGCACTCACCTAACACCAGGAGCCGCGTGCCCGGCCCGAAGTACTGAGTCTGAGTCACGGCCCCCCAGCCCCGCGCAAAAACCCGCCGCGCATACCCCGGGGTCCCCAGCGTCTTGCCTCACCTAGCACCAACAGCCGGGTACCCGCGCCGAAGTACTGCGTGTCTGTGCCCACAGCCTCAGGTCTCAGCACAAAAATATCGGTCCAGCGACCCTACTGGCATCTGATCGCCCCACTTCCCTCCTAGCGCCCCAGAGCACCCCACTTACCTAGTACCACCAGCCGAGTGCCCCCTCCAAAATACAGAGGGTTATTGCTCACAGCCCGGAGGCTCAGGACAAAAACTAGCGCTACCCTCTCCGGATAGTCTGGACTCAGCCCAGGTCCCCACCGACCCTGAACCAGCACAGAAGGGAGATGGGCAGCCGCCCTCCTCTCCGCATCCCTCCCTAGGGAACACTCAGGGACCCCAGCTGCCCTCCTTACCCAGAACAGTCAGCTTGGAACCAGCTCCAAAGTACAGCTGCGCGGTGTTCACACAGCCCTGGGGACCCAGGAGCAAACTTTGTCTTCCCTGAGGGCAGCCTGGGAGGCTCCAGCACCCACTCCCCCAAAGCCATGGTTTGGGGGGATCATCTAACCTGGGCATTCCACCCTCCTTCCCCCTGGAGAAGCATTCTTACCTAGCACAGTGAGCCTGGTCCCTGGCCCGAAGTGCTGCTCTTCATAGGAGCACAGTGGGAAGGGGCTGCCAAGAATTCCTCCATCTTCCCCTCCTCCCCTGGAACAGTCTGGGGCCACCCTCCTTCTCCTCCCTGGCTTCTCTCCCCGTCGACCTACCTCCAGAACTAGTGGACAAGTGGTCTGGACATGAGGTCACCCCCAATTTTGCAGAGAATGAGCTTGACTTGGGGGCTTACGTGGTGGTGAAATTGGAAGGGGCACTAGGGGTGGAGGTTTTGCTGGACTGGGAAGTGTTTCAGGCTAGACCCTGCCTCTTATTACTTCTGTGACCTGAAACCTCCCTGGCCTTAGTTTCTCCATCTGAAAAATGGAATAATATCTTTCCCACAGGATTGTTGTGCTTAATGAATTTTACACCTGCAATGCTTTCAAACTGTGCTACCGAAGAAGACTATTGAGAGAACCTTGGACAGCAAGGAGATTAAACCAGTCAATCCTAAAGGAAATCAATCCTGAATATTCATTGCAAGGACTGATACTGAAGCTGAGGCTCCAATACCTTGGACACCTGATGCAAAGAGCTGACTCATGGGAAAAGACCCTGATTCTGGGAAAGATTGAGGGCAGGAGGAGAAAGGGGTTAACAGAGAATGAGATGCTTGGAAGGCATCACTGAGTCAGTGGACATAAGTTTGAGCAAACTCAGGAAGCTTAGCATGCTGCAGTCCATGGGGTCGCAAAGAGTCGGACACGACTTAGCAACTGAAAGACAAGTACTTTGTCAAAAGGCAAGTTTTATGGGAAGCACTGGTTCTTGATCCCACTCTGACGGCTTGATTCTTCGTGTTCCAGGGAAGCTGAGTATGGAGCAGGGAGAGGCAGAGGTGATCAGAGTCCAGGTCCCTGTGAGACCACATAGGGACCTGCTCCAAGGACTTCTCCCAGCCACTCTCCCCATCTTGAGCTGGGAGCTAGGTTCCAGGTGGGCTGCGTGGGTCTATTTTCTGAGGCAGGGTTTTTTGTAAAAGCACTTCCTCTATCTGAATCATCGTGCCCCCCCCCCCAAAGTCCCACGATGTTACACTGTGATACAAAAATGTCCTCTCCTTTGGTGCCCCTCCTCCAGCTACTGGGCAGAGGCCGGAAGTGCAGGTGGCAGAGCCTGGTCTGACTGATGGGGTGAGAGCAGACAGACTCAGGGTACACTGGCGGGGGAGGGACTTGGGGAAGGGCAGGGTGCTAGTGGTGGGGGAGGGGGCAGGGAGGCCCCTCCTGGAACAGATGCCACCCCGAGGAGCTCTGCTGTGTCATCAGGGCTCCCCTCCGGGACTCTCTGTGCCCACCTGTGCAGGCGGGCATTTATAGAGAGGTGGGTGGGAGGACCATCCACAGAGCAGGTGATGTCAGCTCAGGGCGGGAGGACTCACAGCTCTGCACTTGCCCTTGACTTCCTGGATGGGCTCCTCTCCCTTCACTAGGGCACAGATGTTTAATACACGTCTACTATATGCCTGCCTCATGCTGCAACAAGGATAGAGTCCACCCTCAGAGTGGGAAGCCCCAACCTGCCTTTGCAGACTTGTGACTGCCATCTCTGAATCTCACAGCCAGCTGAGTGCAAGGACCAGAAGTCCATGACCCTGTAGTTTCCTATCCCATTCTTACATCTGACTCTCATGACCTCTCTCCCACTTGGATAACTGAGACCAACTCTTCCTGTGAAGAGTCTGCCACCTTCCTAGACTCTCCCTGATGGTCCCAGTCAGAAGCCGAGTGCCAGCTTCTGCCCACTTTTCAGTACACAGTTCATGTTGCTGCTATTCAGGCGTTAAGTGTGGACATTACTGCTGTATGTTAAGCATTTCCACCCATGAATTATCCCCCTAAAGAATAGGGAAACTTCTTGGGGGCTGTGGCTTGGATATCTTTTTTTTTTTTTGAAGGTTACTGAAAAACATTGCAATGACATGTACTTAATGCATAGTCTACTCTGCTGATGCACATATGCTGACTTGTGTGTATGCGTGTTTGTTGGTATATGTGCAAAGACTTGTGCTAGAGTGCATGCATGCATTAGATTGAGGAGGCTGTGTGCTGCAGGCCTGTGGGGAGGAGGGGTGTCACTGTCTGTGCAGGAAGGCCTGAAGGTTATATCTGCTCCTGAATTGGGTCGCTTTGGGTGAGCTCTCTGATTTATTCATTTCTTTAAAGATAATTTATTGGGTGAGTACAGTGAACCAAAATATATGCTACATCTCAAAGATACTGTAATAAAATACTACTTGGTCCTCAAGGAGGTGACCTTCAAGTGGCGGTGTCAGACAATGAAAGGGGTAGTTTCCATCAAGTGAGGTTAATAGCAGGAAGGAAGTGGGCACAGGGCACAGTGATAGCAAAACACAGAGGGCATTTCATGCAGTCTCATGGAGTAAGGGGCAAGGATGCTCCAGAGAAGGCTACTAGCTGGGGAAGATGTCATCGCTGAGCCTGCAAGGATGAGTGGGAGTTTGTGTAGGTGTCATTCCAGGCAGAGGAGTGCAGGATGGCCTGAGAGCCAGTGGCTCAGAAGGCTCAGGGGTACAGGAGTGAGGGTGAGTGTGGACACAGAGGTGGGGGGCAATGGTGGGTCTTTTACGCCATCCTGAGGACGTTGGGTTACATCACCATAGTGACAGTGTGACGATAAAGAGCTTTGGAAGGATTTCTAGGAACAGCAATAGGGCTGATCCTCGGTTTTCGGAACTTTATTTTCTATCCTTCCATGTGCTTCCTCCCAGGTGTCTTGCAGGGCTCCCAGGTGGTAAAGAATCTGCCTCCCAATGCAGGAGACATGAGAGACGTGGGTTTGATCCCTGGGTTGGGAATATCCTCTGGAGTAGGAATTAGCACCCTACTCCAGTATTCTTGCCTGGGAATTACGAGGGACAAAGGAGCCTGGCGGGCTACAGTCCATGGGGTCACAAGGAGTCAGACACAACTGACTGAGCACAGGAGTGATCAGGGGACATTTTCACATCTACTTAATTCACCTGAGTGAAATTTATAACTAGCTTTGTAACTTAACCCAGAGACACATCTGCTACTGAGCAGAGATTTCCAAGTCAGTGATGTTTCTTCTTTCCAGCTGGAAACACTCTTTGGTAGTGAACCAAGCCTAGTAATGCTCCTGGTGAGAGAGTTGAAATGAGCACCCTGGGGTCATGAACACTCTGCAGCGGGCACACCTGTGTGGTTTAGCTCTTCCTCGGAGCACCTTTGTCCAGGTAGGAAAGCAAGTTCCTAGAGGCAACACTGCCGTTTTTCTAGACTGCTTCAGAGTAAGTCTCTCCCTTCACCAGTCGCCCCCTTTCACATGTCCCTTCCTTCACACCCCCTTCCTGACAAGAAGCAGCAGTGCCAATCACAGGCTGGGCCCCTCACACCTCCTACCTGAAAGGACTGTACTTCCCTTGAATAGCTCTTGTTTATACCCTGACTGGAGTCACATGGGACTTCAGAGATGGACAGAAGAGGTGAGGAGACACTCATAACACAACAGGCCATTTTTATTGGTTCAGCAAGTTCCGTCCCCCTAGGGTCTCCCCTGGGTTAGGGAGATCCTGGTCCGCCCTAGTTTGGAGAACCCACACATGGGAGTGGATGCTGGGCTGAGTCCAGAGATGAGGGCAGTTCTTCAGAAGCGCTGGGTAGGAACAGGAAAAGCAGAATTCACATCAGGGCAGCAACAGGCTGGAAGCTCCTGGCTCCACTTCTAAGCCGGCTTCAGGAATCTTTTCTCTTGACCTGAGGAAGAGGTGTGAGGGTTACAAGGAGCCAGGAGTGCTGGGGACCCAGAGGAGGTAGGGTGTCCCACTGACAAGACGAACAGCAGGTCTCCGCCCAACATCCATGCATTGGGTTTTCTGGTGACCCCAGTTTCTCCTCCCCAGCACGGCTCTCGCATTGCGATCACACACGTGCAAGGTGTCTTCCGAGGCATGTGGGTGAACCCCTTCCTTCCTCCTCTCTGCCCACCTCTGGTCCTGGTGGGGCCTCTACCTTCCTAGGTCTGTGTTGCCGCATTTCAAGTGTCACCTCCAACATGCCTGCCCCATCCTGGCCCCCTCCTCACCATGGCCATCAGCACCAGGGCGCTGACCAGCACAGCGTACAGGGTGGCCTTCCCCAGCAGGATCTCATAGAGGAGGGTGGCAGACAGGACGCCTTGCTGATAAGACGCTGTTGGCAGGAAGGGAGAGCAGGTAGGTACCTGTGAGCAGGTATCTCTGGCCTCCACCCCCTTTACCAACGCCCACCCCAACCAGTGTCCACGGCTTCTCTGTCTCTGGTTGCAGAGAAATGACCATGGAGATGGACACAAAGAAGCAGAGGGCTACTCACCGGAGGTGACACCACAGTCTGCAAGAAAAAAGGGGGAGGAAAACGGATGAGAGACTGCATCTTCTAAACCCGATTCAAAACTAAGTCAGTGTTTTAGTCAGCACTGACCCCCAGGCTCAGAGCAGCCTCTGATCAGAGTCCTAGCACTGCCTGTACCAATGTGGCCACAGCATCCTCAGAGTCATGGGAGGAGGCAGCACTGAAGGGGATGGGGACCCACCCCTGAGACCCTGAGCTGTGCAGGCGGGCAGGGAGGGGACCCACCAGCACCGCTGAGTTGGGCTGAGGATCTGGACCTGGGGGAGGAGTGAGCCCGAGGAGGTGCCCTGTCCACCCTCTTGGTGGGCTCCCCGACCCCTCACTCTGTGTCCAGCCTTCCCGCTCCTCTCCCTGGATCTCTCCTCTGTCGGCTCTGACTCCGCTCTGGCCGGCTCACCTGCTCTGCCCCAGGCCTCGGCGCTGATGTTCTGGGTGACGGGCTTGGCCCTGTCCTTCTGCTCCCACGTGTCCTCGTCCGTGAGCCCGTGGAACTGGACTTGGCAGCGGAAGTGGTTGCGGGGGTTGTGCCAGAAGGCAGCGGTCACTCTCAGCCGGCTGCTCAGACAGTATCTGGAGTCCTCCCGCGTGGGGTCCTCCTTGTAGGGCTCAGGGTCCGTGCTGACCCCAGTGGTGACCTGCTTCCTGTTCACCCACCAGGTCAGCTCCACGTGGTCGGGGTAGAAGCCCGTGGCCAGGCACACGAGCGTGGCCTTCTGGGTCCGGGAGATCTCTGCTTCCGAGGGTTCGAACACAGCCACCTTGGGCGGGTGCACCCGGCTCAGATCATCTGGAAGGACAGGGGTGGGGGCCAGGACCGGCCTGAGAGCTGGTTGGGCATAGGGGCTGTGTGTGTGTGTGTGTGTGTGTGTGTGTGTGTGTGTATGTGTGTGAGTGTTTCTGTGTTTTTGTGTATGAGTATATGAGTGTGATTGCAGCCATGAAATTAAAAGATGCTTACTCCTTAGAAGGAAAGTTATGACCAACCTAGATAGCATATTAAAAAGCAGAGACATTACTTTGCCAACAAAGGTCCATCTAGTCAAGGCTATGGTTTTCCCAGTGGTCATGTATGGATGTGAGAGTTGGACTGTGAAGAGAGCTGAGTACCGAAAAATTGATGCTTTTCAACTGTGGTGTTGGAGAAGACTCTTGAGAGTCCTTTGGACTGCAAGGAGATCCAACCACTCCATCCTAAAGGAGATCAGTCCTGTGTGTTCATTGGAAGGACTGATGTTGAAGCTGAAACTCCCAATACTTTGGCCACCTCATGCGAAGAGTTCGCTCATTTGAAAAGACCCTGATGCTGGGAGGGATTGGGGGCAGGAGGAGAAGGGGACGACAGAGGATGAGATGCCTGGATGGCATCACCGACTCGATGGACATGAGTTTGAGTAAACTCAAGGAGTTGGTGATGGACAGGGGGGCCTGGCGTGCTGCAATTCATGGGGTCACAAAGAGTCGGACACAACTGAGTGACTGAACTGAGCTGATATGAGTGTGAGAACGAAGGGAAGGGGGCCACAGGTCATCCTAAAATAAAATCATGTAGCAGTATGACTACCCCGGTGGCTCAGAGGGAATCTGCCTGCCAATGCAGGAGACGTGGGTTCGATCCCTGAGTTGGGAAGATCCCCTGGAGAAGGAAATGGCAACCCACTCCAGTGTTCTTGCCTGGGAAATCCCATGGATAGAGGAGCCTGGTGGGCTACAGTCCATGGGGTCGCCAAAGAGTCGGACACGACTGAGCGACTGAGCGTGCATGCAAGCAGTATGGCCTGTGTGTTTGGGGGGTCACCACCCCACACCTCTGCGCTCGTTCTCTGCCTGCCTGTGCCCTTACTCACCCAGCCACAGGCCTGTCTCTTGTGTCTCCAGCCCCAAAGGTGGCCTTACAAATGGCATCATGCAACCTCTGAGCAAATTCTCCTCTCTTACGTTATGGTTTTGTTATTCAACATAAGAAGCTTACTTCTCTACTTCTCACCATAATATATAGTAGTTATTTAAATAAAGCACCGGATGGAACATGAATAACAGAATTCGAAGCTTAGAAGTGGCTTTAGATAGTCTCTGGATGTCTTTGCATCATTTTTCCTGCTTGTGAAGGGAGAAGCCAACACTGACTGTCCACAGCAGGGGTGGGCGTGAGCTGATCTATGGACGCCGAAAGCCCTGTCCTCTGCTGGGAGTGAGCCTGAAGGGTTGACCAGTAGGATGACTTGGGGATAAGGAAGTTATTTGATGGCTGTTTTTTATTTTTTCAGATGACAATGTACTAATGATATATTTTTGCATACTCATGTGAAGACAGCATTTGTCTTAGGGCGTACTCATCAGAATGCTGCTGCTGCTAAGTCGCTTCAGTCGTGTCTGACTCTGTGCGACCCCATGGATGGCAGCCCATCAGGCTTCTCTGTCCAGAGGATCCTCTAGGCAAGAACACTGGAGTGGGTTGCCATTTCCTTCTCCAACCAAACGGAATGGGAGGTTTTCTTTCTTTCCAGTGCTTCAGGTCAACCTAGCCATTCCTCTGCCTGCAGGTACCCCTGAGCTGCCTCGGCTCAGAGAAATCGCTGTCTCCCCTTGTTTTAAATTCAGGCATCTTCAACTTGCTTTGCCCCTCTGATTCCATATATTCTACTTTTCCCTACTGGCTAGCTTCGTAAATATGCATCTGAGGTCATCAGAGCAACTTCCACTCCCAGTTGTCTTGATCCAGCTAAGCCTCTGGTGTGTGGCATCCCGGAGGGCCCCAGGTGAAGGCATTCCAGTTAAAGCCCCGGTGGCCTTCTCATCTGACTGGCTTATTGCTTCTGAACCCTCTTGACATACATTTCATCTTGCTCTTTGCATTATACGGATTTTTTTGTTTGTTTCTGAACAATTCTGTTAAAAGGAAGACATCTCATTCTAAAGAGATGTAGTTTAGCCTAGAAGATTTAAAAAAAAAAAAGTTCTGACACTTGCTATTTCCATGGATGTGACTTAACTTCAGGGCTGGGTTCATGGGGGTGTGAACCATGTAGTCTCCACTTAGAAGGCCTCCCTGCTTGATATCATGTACTGGTGTCACCACTGTGAAATTCTAAATAATTTTTTAAACAAAAGCCTTAGGTGTTCATTTTGAGGTAGCCCTGGGCTTCTCTGGAGGCTCACTCGGTAAACAATCTGCCTGCAATGCAGGAGATCTGGGTTCAATCCCTTGATCAGGGAGACCCCCTGGAGAAGGAAACAGCAACCCACTCCAGTCTTCTTGCCTGGAGAATTCCATGGACAGAGGAGCCTGGTGGGCTACAGTCTGCTGAGTCAGACACGACTAAGTGACTAACACTTCACTTCACTTTCTGCCTTCCATCAGGCCGGGCGCCCTGTGCTGCGCTTCCCACCTTGTGACTGTCCGTCTGTCCCGAGGGCTGTACTGGCAGACCGGAACTGAAATGGAAATCTCCTGACTTCTCTCTGTTGCACTGGTTCCATCAGGCTTTCTGCTCTTGGCCTGGTTCTTCACTCTCCTGCAAAGTCCCTGTCTCTGGGGTTCTACCAGCCCTCCTGGGGCATTACAGAATCGACTCCTCTGACCCCCTCACCCAGCAAACACTCAGCACTTACTGGAAAAATTACAGACGTGTTTTTGAGCCATGCGCAATGCTCCCTGTGATGTTGATGTGTTGGGCAGAAGGAAGCAGGACCTTCCTTACACGTTGAAGCACTGGCTACATGGCTCCACGATGAGGGTGAGTCAGTTTCCCCTCCCTGTTTGTGAGTCCCCGTGGGTGGGCTCGCCCATGTGAGTGCACCTGTGTGTGTGTCCTGGTGAGCTTTGGTGGTGCGTGCTTGGATGTGGGCTGAAGAGCCTCAGACAGAACTCTGAAGTTTACCTGTGCTGTTCCCAGCTCACTTCTTACATATAGCCAGCCCTCCTCCTCATGCTTATCCTGCCCCTCCATTGGCACTGGGTTCCCCTGCTGTCCCAGTGACCGCCTAAAGGAGGGGCAGAGGGGAGACCACTGAATTACAATAGGTCTGCTAGATACTCTAAGATACTCCCCACGCAGCTACTCCTGCAATTCTCAGAGCAGTGTTAGCAGTAGGTCTTGTTGATGATTTTCAATCCTAGGTAAGGTTCCCACAGATTCACTTGCCCAAGGTCATCAGAGCATTAAAGGACCAGGGCTTGGGTCCCAGGTGTACCTGTTCTGAGGTCTCCTGCTCTCCTCCACCCTGGCTGATCACAGGAACCCAGCTGTCACTGGGAACAAACATTTCAAATGGAGCCCCACTTGTTCCACCCTAACCAGTCTAACTACAGACACTTGCTGTTATCATATCATCCAGTAAATGCAACAGTATCGAGGGGTCATTCCCTCTGGAAGCTCAGTGCTTCCATCACCAGGTGACATTGAAGATCCCTTTCCAGTGCTAAGATCCCCTTGGGAATGTTCCCGGCCTCAGAAGGAAAAATATGTCTATTTTAATATATGCCCTGCACCATCTGGCTGCTTAACCTCAAAGACTGGTGTGAGGAGGGAGATTTCAGGCTCGGGGGCGGGCGGTGGTGGTGATGAGGGGGCTCCATATGATGAGTAAATGCACCCAGTGGCCCACGTTCGCACCAGCCCGTGTGTGCTGTACACACAGCCTGGCCGGCAGGGGTCTGGACTTAGGTAGAAAGGAAGAGGTTGGAAACCTAAATTTAAATCCAAACTTCCAAACAGTAAATCGACAAACCCCACCTGTTTGGATTCTTTCTCTCACTGCCTGGTGTTTATCTGTCTCTTTCAAGTCTCTGTTCTACTTTCCTCCATCATCCTTTTCCTCCTAGGTCATTGAGTGGAAGCCTGCATCTCCTCCTGCCTGAAGCCAGCTCTGCAGGGGGCCCACTCTCCTGGACTCACTCCTGCCTGTTCCTGAGTGCCCCCCCGCCCCCAGCTCATTTTTCGCTTCGTGGCTGCTACACCCACTTCTACCCTTCCCTCAGCCCAGATCGCCCTCCTCAGTCTTTTTCTCCAATCAAGCAGCTCTCAGAGTCCTAATAAATTCTGTTTTTCGCCATGGCTCACCAAGTCCCTAATATCTCAAGGAAAAAGCAAAAAAAACCAAAGCCCCCCCCCTTGCCCTACCTCTCTGTTCCAGGACTATGAGAACCCCAGTCCTGGCCCCTCATCCCTTGCAGAGCTGACTCTACAGGTGGACAACGTGGCCACACACTCCAGCCCACCCCACTCATCTCCGGGGACAAGAGAGGCCGCGAAGAGAAGGCAGGGAGGCGTTCAGATCTCACCTGTGACCGTGAGCCTGGTGCCGGCGCCAAAATACCTCTCTCTGGCTCACAGAGTCCCAGTCCCGCAAGCAAACCCCTCAGAGCATAGCAGCTCGCCCTCCGGGACCCAGAGCCCGGCTCCAGCGCAGGGAGGGGACCAAGTGCCCGGATCCGACCCGCCCTGACTCTGCCGTCCGCGGCCAGCGCGCCGACACTCACCCACCGCGGTCAGCGCTCCGCCGGCCCCGGAGTTCAGGGCGGCACCGGGGCGCCCCACAAAAAAATCGAGGCGAGCCGCCCGCACTCACCTAGCACCAGGAGCCGCGTGCCCGGCCCGAAGTACTGCGTCTCTGAGTCACGGCCCCCTAGCCCCGCGCAAAAACCTGCCGCCCATCCCTCGGGTCTCCGGGGTCGTCCCAGCTCACCTAACACCAACAGCCGGGTGCCGGCGCCGAAGTACTGAGTGCTTTGGCTCACAGCCCCGGGACTCAGGACAAAAACCAGCGCTGCCCTTCTCTGATGCCCCGACTCAGCCCAGGTCCCCACCGACCCTGAGCCAGCACAGAAGGGAGATGGGCAGCCGCCCTCCTCTCCGCATCCCTCCCTAGGGAACACTCAGGGACCCCAGCTGCCCTCCTTACCCAGAACAGTCAGCTTGGAACCAACTCCAAAGTACAGCTGCGCGGCGTTCACACAGCCCTGGGGACCCAGGAGCAAACTTTGCCTTCTCGGAGAGCAGCCAGGGAGGCTCCAGCGCCCACTCCCCCAAACCCTGGCTTTGGGGGGATCATCTAGCCTGGGCATTCCACCCTCCTTCCCCCTGGAGAAGCATTCTTACCTAGCACAGTGAGCCTGGTCCCTGGCCCGAAGTGCTGCTCCCCATAGGAGCACAGTGGGAAGGGGCTGCCAAGAATTCCTCCATCTTCCCCTCCTCCCCTGGAACAGTCTGGGGCCACCCTCCTTCTCCTCCCTGGCTTCTCTCCCCGTCGACCTACCTCCAGAACTAGTGGACAAGTGGTCTGGACATGAGGTCACGCCCAGTTTTGCAGAGAATGAACTTGACTTGGGGGCTTACATGGTGGTGAAATTGGAAGGGGCACTAAGAGTGGAGGTTTTGCTGGACTGGGAAGTGTTTCAGGCTAGACCTTGCCTCTTATTACTTCTGTGACCTGAAACCTCTCTGGCCTTAGTTTCTTCATCTGAAAAATGGGGTAATATCTTCCCCGGGGGTTGTTGTGAGTGCTTAACAAATAACACAGCTTCAAGTACTTTGTCCAAGGTCAAGTTTTGTGAAGATCCCACTCTGACGGCTTGATTTTTCACATTCCTGGGAAGCTGAGTGTGGAGCAGGGAGAGGCAGAGGTGATCAGAGTGCAGGTCCCTGTGAGACCACATAGGGACCTGCTCCAGGGACTTCTCCCAGCCACTCTCCCCATCTTGAGCCTGGAGCTAGGTTCCAGGTGGGCTGCGTGGGTCTATTTTCTGAGGCAGGGTTTTTTGTAAAAGCACTTCCTCTATCTGAATCATCGTGCCCACCCCCCCAGTCCCACGATGTTACACTGTGATACAAAAATGTCCTCTCCTCTGGTGCCCCTCCTCCAGCTACTGGGCAGAGGCCGGAAGTGCAGGTGGCAGAGCCTGGTCTGACTGATGGGGTGAGAGCAGACAGACTCAGGGTACACTGGAGGGGGAGGGACTTGGGGAAAGGCAGGGTGCTAGTGGTGGGGGAGGGGGGCAGGGAGGCCCCTCCTGGAACAGATGCCACCCCGAGGAGCTCTGCTGTGTCATCAGGGCTCCCCTCCGGGACTCTCTGTGCCCACCTGTGCAGGTGGGCATTTATAGAGGTGGGTGGGAGGACCATCCACAGAGCAGGTGATGTCAGCTCAGGGCGGGAGGAGTCACAGCTCTGCACTTGCCCTTGGCTTCCTGGATGGGCTCCTCTCCCTTCACTAGGGCACAGATGTTTAATGCACGTCTACTATATGCCTGCTTCATGCTGCAACAAGGATAGAGTCCACCCTCAGAGCAGGAAGACCAACCTGCCTTTGCAGACTTGTGACTGCCACCTCTGAACCTCACAGCCAGCTGAGTGCAAAGACCTGAGTGCTGAGTGCAAGGTCCCTGACCCTGTAGTTTCCTATCCCATTCATACGTCTGACTCTCATGACCTCTCTCCCACTTGAATAACTGAGACCAACTCTTCCTGTGAAGAATCTGCCACCTTCCCAAACTCTCCCTGATGGTCCCAGTTAGAAACTGAGTGCTAGCCTCCGCCTGCATTATAGTAACTCACATTGCTTGTATATTGACTGTTTCTATCCATGAATTATCCCCTAATGAACAGGGAGGATTCTGTTTTTAAAATATTAATTTATTTATTTTAATTGGAGGCTAATTACTTTACAATATTGTAGTGGCTTTGCCATACATTGACATGAATCAGCCATGAGTGTACATGTGTTCCCCATCCTGAACCCCCCTCCCACCTCCCTCCCCATCCCATCCCTCCGGGTCATCCCAGTGCACTAGCCCTGAGCACCCTGTCTCATGCATCCAACCTGGACTGGCGATTAGTTTCACATATGATAATTTACATGTTTCAATGCCATTCTCCCATATCACTCCATCCTCGCCCTCTCACACAGAGTCCAAAAGACTGTTCTATACATCTGTGTCTCTTTTGCTGTTTCGCATACAGGGTTATCGTTACCATCTTTCTAAATTCCATATATATGCGTTAGTATAGTATATTGGTGTTTTTCTTTCTGGCTTACTTCACTCTGTATAATAGGCTTGGGAAGATTCTTGAGGACTGTGACTTGGAAGTCTTTATTTTCTTGGAGGTTAATAGCAAACACTGCAATGACATATGCTTAGCAAGTGGTTGGCTATTCGCATTCATATGTATTCAGAGATGTGTGTATATGCATGTGGTTGTATATGAGGCACCCATGTTAGAATGCACACGTGTATTGCAATAGAGAAGGCTGTGTGCTGCGGGGCTGGGAGGGGGAGGGTTGCTGTCTGTTTCAGGCAGGCCTTAGGGTTATATCTGCTCCTGAATTGGGTCACTGTGGGTGAACTCACTGACTCATTCATTGATTCCAAGATAATTTAATGGAAGCGTACACTGAACATGGGGTTCCCTCGTGGCTCAGATGGTCAAGAATCTGCCTGCAATGCAGGAGACCTGGGTTCCATCCCTGGGTCAGGAAGATCCCCTGGGAATGGGAATGGCCACCCACTCCAGTATTCTTGCCTGGAAAATCCCATGGACAGAGGAGCCTGGCAGTCTGCAGTCCATGGAGTAGCCAAGACTGAGCAACTAACATACACATGCTGAACCAAGGTACTATGCCACATCCCAAGGCTACTGAAATAAAACACAACTTTGCCATCATAGAGTGACCTTCAAGTGGGGGTGTCAGACAAGAAAAGGGGTAGCTTCCATCAAGTGTCAGTGGTAGGAAGGAGGTGGGCACAGGGCATTGTGGTAGCAAAATGCATGGTGCATTTCATTCAACATCATGGGGGTGGTGTAAGAGGCATAGAAGCTTCTTATAGGAGAAGATATCACTGGTAAATATTCAGAGATCAGTAGGAACTTACATATTTGTCATTACAGGTAGAGGAGTGCAAGATGATCTGCAAGCCAGTGGTTCATGGGGTTTAGGGTGACAGGAGTGAGGGTGAGTGTAGACAAAGAGACGGAGGACAACGGTGGTTCTTTTATGCCATTTTGAGGGCTTTGGGTTAAGTCACCATGGTGACTGTGTGACAATAAAGAGCTTTGGAAGGATTTCTAGAAATAGCAAGAGGGCTGATCCTTGGTTTTAGGGAGCTTTATTTTCCATCCTCCGAGGACTCATCAGGGGACATTTTCACATCTACTTAATTCACTTGAGTGAAATTGATAACTGGATTTATAACTTAAACTAGACGACACGTTTGCTACTGAAAACAGAGTCCCAAGTCAGTGACTTTTCTTCCCTCCTGGAAACACGCCTTGGTGGTGAAGGCAGCTGAGCTGTGAGTGCCCTCAGGGAAACTGCATCCGTGACACAAGTGACTCTGACCTTTGTTGGTCACGAGGTCATGACCACGTGGCAGGCAGACACAGGTGCGGGTCGGCTCTGCCTCAGCGCGCCTTTGACTAAGTGGGACAGAACATTCCCAGCGTTAACATCAGCGTTTTCCTGGACTGCTCCAGAGTAAGCCTCTCCCTTCACCAGTCACCCCCTGTCACACGTTCCTTCCTTCACACCCCCTTCCTGACAAGAAGCAGCAGTGCCAATCACAGGCTGGGCCCCTCACACCTCCTACCTGAAAGGACTGTACTTCCCTTGAATAGCTCTTGTTTATACCCTGACTGGAGTCACATGGGACTTCAGAGATGGACAGAAGAGGTGAGGAGACACTCATAACACAACAGGCCATTTTTATTGGTTCAGCAAGTTCCGTCCCCCTAGGGTCTCCCCTGGGTTAGGGAGATCCTGGTCCGCCCTAGTTTGGAGAACCCACACATGGGAGTGGATGCTGGGCTGAGTCCAGAGATGAGGGCAGTTCTTCAGAAGCGCTGGGTAGGAACAGGAAAAGCAGAATTCACATCAGGGCAGCAACAGGCTGGAAGCTCCTGGCTCCACTTCTAAGCCGGCTTCAGGAATCTTTTCTCTTGACCTGAGGAAGAGGTGTGAGGGTTACAAGGAGCCAGGAGTGCTGGGGACCCAGAGGAGGTAGGGTGTCCCACTGACAAGACGAACAGCAGGTCTCCGCCCAACATCCATGCATTGGGTTTTCTGGTGACCCCAGTTTCTCCTCCCCAGCACGGCTCTCGCATTGCGATCACACACGTGCAAGGTGTCTTCCGAGGCATGTGGGTGAACCCCTTCCTTCCTCCTCTCTGCCCACCTCTGGTCCTGGTGGGGCCTCTACCTTCCTAGGTCTGTGTTGCCGCATTTCAAGTGTCACCTCCAACATGCCTGCCCCATCCTGGCCCCCTCCTCACCATGGCCATCAGCACCAGGGCGCTGACCAGCACAGCGTACAGGGTGGCCTTCCCCAGCAGGATCTCATAGAGGAGGGTGGCAGACAGGACGCCTTGCTGATAAGACGCTGTTGGCAGGAAGGGAGAGCAGGTAGGTACCTGTGAGCAGGTATCTCTGGCCTCCACCCCCTTTACCAACGCCCACCCCAACCAGTGTCCACGGCTTCTCTGTCTCTGGTTGCAGAGAAATGACCATGGAGATGGACACAAAGAAGCAGAGGGCTACTCACCGGAGGTGACACCACAGTCTGCAAGAAAAAAGGGGGAGGAAAACGGATGAGAGACTGCATCTTCCAAACCCGATTCAAAACTAAGTCAGTGTTTTAGTCAGCACTGACCCCCAGGCTCAGAGCAGCCTCTGATCAGAGTCCTAGCACTGCCTGTACCAATGTGGCCACAGCATCCTCAGAGTCATGGGAGGAGGCAGCACTGAAGGGGATGGGGACCCACCCCTGAGACCCTGAGCTGTGCAGGCGGGCAGGGAGGGGACCCACCAGCACCGCTGAGTTGGGCTGAGGATCTGGACCTGGGGGAGGAGTGAGCCCGAGGAGGTGCCCTGTCCACCCTCTTGGTGGGCTCCCCGACCCCTCACTCTGTGTCCAGCCTTCCCGCTCCTCTCCCTGGATCTCTCCTCTGTCGGCTCTGACTCCGCTCTGGCCGGCTCACCTGCTCTGCCCCAGGCCTCGGCGCTGATGTTCTGGGTGACGGGCTTGGCCCTGTCCTTCTGCTCCCACGTGTCCTCGTCCGTGAGCCCGTGGAACTGGACTTGGCAGCGGAAGTGGTTGCGGGGGTTGTGCCAGAAGGCGGCGGTCACTCTCAGCCGGCTGCTCAGACAGTATCTGGAGTCCTCCCGCGTGGGGTCCTCCTTGTAGGGCTCAGGGTCCGTGCTGACCCCAGTGGTGACCTGCTTCCTGTTCACCCACCAGGTCAGCTCCACGTGGTCGGGGTAGAAGCCCGTGGCCAGGCACACGAGCGTGGCCTTCTGGGTCCGGGAGATCTCTGCTTCCGAGGGTTCGAACACAGCCACCTTGGGCGGGTGCACCCGGCTCAGATCGTCTGGAAGGACAGGGGTGGGGGCCAGGACCGGCCTGAGAGCTGGCTGGGCGTAGGGGCTGTGTGTGTGTGAATTTGAAGGGAGCAAGGAAAGTGGCCACAGCATCATCATAAAATTATGTACCAGGAGGTCCTGTTTGTTTAGGGGTCACCATCCCAATCTTCTGCTATTAGTCACCCTCAGCTTTGCCTCTTCTTTCTTGGTTACCCCATAGATACACACTACTGACTGCCTCCTGCCTCTCCCTAAGGTGGCATCATATCCTGAGTTTCTTAGCTTTGTTTGAAATGTCTTATTCTTGCAGTCATGTAGGATGATCCATGAAGTGAGTATATCTGTTGTCTTCCTAATTCGAATCCCTCTTTGGTGCCTGACTATCTAATTTTCAGACCTGGAAGTAATTATAGGAGAGCTGAATAAGCCTGGATTTTGAGGCAGAAGATTCCTCCAAACAACATGACCTGGAGACCAGACTGACTGCGTCTAATAATTATTTTTCTGTTTTTGCAGGGTATATGTGTTTACATGTTTGAGCAATAACACATATTAATTAGAATTAGCCGTTCTTCCCTGGGATTTCCTAGGTGGCTCAGTGGTAAAGCACCTGCCTGCCAACGCAGGAGACATAAGAGACGTGAATCGATCCCTGAGTGAGGAAGATCCTCTGCAGTAGGAAATGGCGACAGACTCCAGTATTCTTGCGTGGAGAGTCTCATGGACAGAGGAGCCTGGCAGGCTACAGTCCATAGGGTTACATAGAGTCAGACACGACTGAAGTGACTTAGCATGCATACATTTTCTTCCCTAGAAAAGATACTTTTCCCATTACAGCTGACATGCTTTTCTCTATATTATACTGACCCCACCTTTTGTTTTGATTTTACATGTAAAGCTGCTTTGTGAAGTCTATGTGCCTTTGGCTATTATCCTATCTGATGTTTTAAACTGACTCCTACACGGGCGCTGGGGTGTGTGGGAGCTTGCCCAGGATGGCTGGAACCCCACAAAAGAAACTGTTCTGAGGTTGAACCCTATCTTATTTCTTATTTCCAAACCTCCCTACCAACTTTGGAATCCTAGTTTCAGTCACGCATCATATTCAAAGCAGCAAAAGCATTGAAATGAACAAACCCCAAAGTCTGAAGGCCAGTTTATCAGAGGGTTCCAGGCCCTTTCACATGCCTGACAGATGGGAGAGAATTTCTGAGATTGTTGGAAGGCAGGCCCTCGTGTGAGGACGTGGAGGGGTAAAGTAAAACCAAAAAACACATCTACCTTTCAAGCACCCTCCGTGTTGCCAAAATGCACTGAGACCTCTGTTTAGCTCTGTTCTGGGAGCGAGTTTGTGGAGCAGAAATGTGGCAAACCCAGATGTCTCCACTTTATCCAAGTTCAGGGAATGATTCTATTGAGAAAATTGAGCCCCGGTGTGGAAAAAGACAGTCTGTGACACAGTGAGGATAAACAGGAATGAAAGGGATGGCTGCATCCTCTAAGTCCTCTACAAAGGATTTGCACATGATTTGTTGTTCAATCATGTCTGACTCTTTGTGACCCCACAGACTGCAGCATGCCAGGCTTCCCTGTCCTTCGCTCTCTCCCAGAGTTTGCTCAGACTGATGTCCATTGAGTCAGTCGATGCCATCCAACCATCTCATCCTCTGTCATCCCCTTCTCCTCCTGCCATAAGGATTTAGTCCCTTACAATTTCAGAACTCTAAGAGACCACCGTTGTCATCTCTGTTTTATATTTACATCTCAGAGGGCCCGAGGCAGTTTAGGTCACTTTGCACATTGCCCGAGAGCCCCTTCTCCCGCCCACCCCCCCCACCCCCGCCCGAACTCATGCATTTTGAATCCCGATGATCTGTACTCTCCAATTTCCATCTCACTCCCTGGCACGTGCTCCCATCTGCAGGGCAAAGCCTGCCCCAGCTGACTGGTCTGGTAGGAGCTCAGTGGCCCATTCCTCCGGCCATGTCTACAACTCCAGCCCAGACCTAGCTCACCTTTGCCCTGCTCCTGCCTCCTGCTCGCATCATCCTGAGGCTGGTGATGGTGTGTTAGTGTTTACTCAGGAGCCACTGACTCCATTATCTCAGCGCAGATCCTGAGGTTTGACACAATGGGGCCTCCAACCTATTTCTCCTCCTTCTACCTTGCCTCTTGCGAAAAGAGTGTAAGTTTCCAGTTGTAACAGCTTGTTCAGACTTACCTTCTCTGACCCCCCCACCAAGCGCAGTGCTCCCCAGGGACACTCCTGCAAGCTCAAGTGATGCTGTGACCTGGACCTCTGCCCTCGGGCTTAGGAGCCCCCCTCAGACCAACTCAGTCTCCCCAAGCTGTTCCCCCACTGCCTCCCGGTCTCTTAAACCAGCTCAGGCCGACACACATGGCTCTTGGAGACTGGTGGGGACAGAGAAAGGATTAAGGACAGACAAGGATAGACAAAGGACGAGGAAAGCAAGGACAGGGTTCTGAGCTGGAGGGAGGTGCTGGGGTAGGTTTTAACATAGAAGACAGAGCTCTTCGCCAAAAGGGGGTCGACAGTGCAGGATCAGAGTTAGAATGGGGGTGGGAATGGAGATGATCAGATAAGAAAGGGAAAGCAAAACAGCACACCTGCCAAAACAGGAGTGACGAGAGGCGACCCGGGAGAATGAGAAAAAAAGTGAGACAAGGCTGGAGACAAAGCACAGCTCCTCGGAGCCCTGGGCCGGGGAGCCGCATCAGACGCAGTGCCACAAACTGGAGGTGCTCCCTCGGGAGGGAAAGGTGGGTCTGACCCCCCACGCCCTTGCACCCCATTTCCCGCCCGATACCTGTCACGGTGAGCCTGGTGCCGATCCCAAAGTGGAGGGGCGAATTATAGGCCCACAGCTGTAGGTGACTGTGGCAAAACCCCCGGAAAACTCAGGCAGGGCAAAAGTCTTAGCTCCTCGAGAGCAGGAATGGCCATTTTTTTTTCCTGCCTGGGTTCATGGCACTAGACCAAAGGGATGCCACTGGAAGAAAGGCCTAGGCACACTCAACGGGGGAAAGAGAAAGAAACTTAGGAGGAGCCGATCCACGCAAGTAAGAAGGAGGGGTGAACCTAGAAGAGTGAGGAGGCAGCTTGTGGTTGGAAGACTCAGAGGAGAAACAGGCATCAACCAAGCTGCCTCTAAAGCAAGGACAGGGGGCTTCCCTGGTGATCCAGGGGCTAAGAGTCCGCCTGACATAAGTTTGATCCCTGGTCGGGGAAGATCCCCTATGCTGCGGGTCAACTAAACCCGTGCACCACAGCTGCTGAGCCCAAATGCCTAGAGCTGGGGCTCCACGAGGAGATACGCCACCGCAATGAGAAGCCCGCGCGCCACAGCTAGAGAGTAGGCCCTGCTGTCCGCAACTAGGGAAAAGCCCGCATAGCAACAAAGACCCAGCGCAACCACGAGTAAATAAAATGCATATTAAAAAATAAATAAAGAGATGGCAGCCCCAGCTCCCCGGGAGCCCCACGGGGATCAGTGTTTAGTCGACCCCCTTCCATCAGGGCAGAGAGGAGAGACAGACACTCCGGTCCCAGAGACGGTGACTCTTTGTCCCGGGTCCTGCGTCTTACCCAGGATGGCGAGCCGGGTCCCATGTCCAAAGCGCCGCGCCTGGTTGCTCCACAGCACAACGCGGGCGTGGCAAACCCCAGAGTGGCTGCTAACATGGGGCCCTTCCTTCCAGAGACGACCTTCCCCCCAGCACTTCTGGGGTTCCAGCGCCTTCTCCGCTCACCCCTACCCTCAGCCTCCGCCGTGTCCTCAGTCCCGGCCTTCTCTAGGGGGACCTTCTAGAACTCTAGCTTCACAGCGCACCGTCCCCAGGGAAGACCTGTACTCACCCAAGATGGAAAGCTTCGTCCCGTTGCCGAAATAGAGCTTTTCATTAGTCACACAACCCTAAAGCCTGGTAGGGAAACTCGCCTGCACCTCCCAGCCCTTCCTTCCCCGGTCCACCTGCAGCTCTCCTGTTCCTTTCCTCAGCAGAACTGTAACTCCCGGAGGTGGAGGGGGTTGACATCTGTTCAGTGTGTGACTCCCCACCCGCCTCTCCTGTGCCCATCTCCTTTCTGCGTTGAGGGAGAAAAATGGCAGACTGACAACTCCAAGGCCAGAGGTTCTCCCATCTACCATGGCTTCGATGGGCATCCCCCAAGGAGACAGGAGAAGGACAAGGTGACCCCTTTCTAATTGAGGTTACTTGCCTCCTGGTAGGGAAACCAGGCTTAGCCAAGCCCGCCCATGAAATTACTGGAGATGGAGGCTGCCCGCATCATCAAGACAAGAACTCACCAAGACAGGAATTCAGATCTTTCTGATAAACACATGCTTTAACCTAGGCACCCAAGACAGAGGCTCCATCTGGACTCTGCCCCTCCCTGCAGGTTCCCAGCCCTCCAGTCCTGGCTGGCTTACCTACAACAGAGAGTCTTCTTCCCTTCACCCCCCAAAAGTAGAAATCTCCAAAGCCAAGCCTCTAGGATTCACTTTAAAACCTCGCCTCCTCTGCTGAGCACAGCCAGGATCAGGGTAGAGGCTGGGGCGTTCAAGGATCTCTTCCCTCCCAAAGACACCAGCCCCCTTCAAACACCCCACATAGCCTTTCAGAGCTTTCCAGGGCCCCAGGACCCCGGGAGCTGGGTCATCCCTTTCTTCCCACGTTTCCTGGGAGGTGCTCCTTCACGGTACCCACCTGGAGACCCCGGCCTTACCTACAACCGTCAGCTTGGTTCCTGGGCCGAAGTGATAGTCATAACACATCAGAACGCAGCCACCCTACAACGCACACCTGGGACCCGCCCTCCTGGCCGAGGGGCCAGGAAAGACCTGGACTGTGTCTTACCTACAACCGTGAGCCTGGTGCCTTTTCCAAAGAAAACCTCAGTGTTCACACAGTGAAGCGGAGCAAGGAGGAAAGCAATTTGAGGCGGGCAGAGCGGACAGGATCTGGGTTGGTGTCTGGTGGACCTGGGACTAGGAGTCCTTTCCTGTGCTTTATGGATATTGCACGAAAGAATATTTTTGAGTCTTGACTCTTGGGGCCACGGAACATGGGCAGAGTCCATCCACAAGGCCCTGAGCCCCTGTTTTGATTCTTCCTGAGGGTCCATCACAGGGATGTGGCCTGGGGAGGCGGGTGGGGTCCCAGACACCCATGAGCATCCATGGGTGGGTGCTGGCGATAGTGCTGACTTCTTGTTTCATAGAGCGGGTCACCTCCCATGAACCTTCCCATTGACCTTGCCCTGAGCAGGGAGCAGGTAGTGAGGGGTGGGATAAAGGGTCTCCCTGAGTCCTTCATCCATGAGGCCACAGAGGCATCTTCTTACATCTGGCCTTTCTGCCTGGAAGCTTCAGCTCTGATCCAGACCTGTCTTGCTCCATGGTTTTGGCTTGATAGGTAAATGGTGGGGGGAGGTGGAGGCCTTCCGACCCGAGCCACCCTTGGGCCAGTGATCCAAGAGGAGAGTGAAAGTTGATGGGCACTGGGACAGGCAGAAAGGTTTTTGTAAAGGATTCCCATAGGGTTGAATCACCGTGGCCCCGCTGTCCCCACAACGTTACAGCTTTATACAAAAACGGCCCCTCCCATGGGCCCGCCCCTCGGAGAGCGAGTCTGGGAGGAACCACCGGAGCGCTGGCCCTCTGAGGGCATTGGAGGGCGAGGAGGTGACATCAGCACCCTGGGTGCGTGGTGCGGGGTAGGGGGCGGGCACGGACGAGGTCAGGGGCTCCCTCCTCACCTCGCGCCCTTTCTTCAGGACCTTCTCGGATCCTCCGAGCTGAGTGCCTTTGCGTCAAGGCTCTCCCTTCCCTGGTATCCGCCCCTCTGCAGGCTGTCGTCATAGGAGCAGCCCCTTTCATCCCCGGCCTGCCCCTGACGCCAGGCACCCAGAGGTCACACCTTTTATCTGAGAATGGGGTCCCGCAGGACCCAGACGCTGCCCCTTCGGCCTAACTCTGAACCTCCAGGGTGGTCCAGAGAACAGGCCACCACCAGATGCACAGAGGTAGAGCTTTTCCAGGGGTAAAATCATAGCTGAGAGCTGTATTTCTTTTCTTTTTTTGCATTCTCTTTAAAAACATTTTTTTTTTAACTGGAGGATAATTGCTTGACAGTGTCATGTTAGTTTCTGCTGAATAGCAACGTGAATCAGCGGTAGCTCAGCTCGGTGCCCTGCCATGACCTTGAGGGGGCGACGGGGGTGGTGGCAGAGCTGTATTTCTAACCAGTGTGAGGTGAGGGGGGAACCACGTGTGTCGTAACCTGCCTCCTTCTCATCGTGGACTTCAGACATCAGGGTTCAGTAAAGGGCTTTCGGGGAAACAGAGGCGGAGAACTGGGTGAATACAGCCTCGGGAACGTTTAAATACAATCGCCTGGCCACGCGATCATAGTCAAGGTCTTCTCCCTCTTTTCCCTAAAGGGCAGAAACATTTTAAACTTTTGCCAGATATTTGATTTTCCCTGCACAAGATGACCTTGAAATTGAAACTCCAGTTGAGTAGTCATGATCTCATTTCACTAGATGGCGCTTCCTTTTGTGGCCTTTCAGACTATGACTCAACATCTAGAAGAAAAAAAGACAAACTTGACCACATAATGATAACACACTGGCAGGGGGAACATATATAGAATCAAAGATAAATGACAATATGGGGAAAGCATTAGCAATTCTTATCATAAGGGCTGATCTCATGTTGATGAACTTCTAGAAATCAGTAAGAAAAGAATCCAGCAGTGCATTAAAAATGAGAAGGTTCAGAAGAAAAGATCCAAATGGTGCTTAACCGTAGGGAAAAAAAAAGTCTTGAAATGATAAATACAAACTAAAATGGCATTGAAATGTCAGTTTTCACCAATTTGATGACGTGAATAGTGGAAGACCATTCTATCAATGGGCTTCCCAGGTGGCGCTAGTGATAAAAGAACCCTCCTGCCCATTCAGGAAACAAAAGAGACACGGGTTGGATCCCTGGGTTGGGAAGATCCCCTGGAGGAGGGCATGCCAACCCACTCAGTATTCTTACCTGGAGAATCCCAAGGGCAAAGGAGCCTGGTGGGCCTGTAGTCTATAGGGTTGCAAGAAGCTGGACACGACTGAAGCAACTTAGCATGCTCTGACATGCTAAATAATACAACTCTTAATGGGAGCAATTAGTAACTATCTATAAATATTATGGCATGACTTAGTGACTAATACCACCACCACCATAAATAACACAAATGTTCTTACTTTTTCACCCAGAAATTCCACCTTTGGGAGTTTATCCTGTAATTACTTTCGCATACAAATGAAAACAAGTGTGTAAAATATTTGCATTATTTGGAATAGCAAATAGTTGGGAAAAACTCCAGTACACATCAGTAAAGGACTGGGTAAATAAATTTTGACACATTCACAAACCAGAATACTATCAAATACTAAAAATGAATGAAAATGCTTTATACTGCTATGGAAAGCTTTCTAATATATACTGTTAACTGGATTAAAAATAAGCTGTAGAATAAGGTTTCTATAGGCAACCTTTGTCTAACAAAGGAGGAAAATAAGAATCATACTTCTGTGTGTTTGATGCTACATGAAGAAATACTGGAAGTTTACAAAAGAGATGGGCAAAAGCGATTACCTGTTAAGAATAAATGGAGGAGACAGAAACAGAGTGTAAGTAAAATTGACATTTCTCAATGTCAACTTTATAGTGTTGATTTTTGAGCCATAGATAGCGATTTTATTTTAAATGGATAAGAGATATTATCTATTTTATGCTAAAGTAAAACAATAAAATTTTAAAAGAAAAACAACAAAATACTACTTTAGGTGATATTTTGAAATCTATCGCTGTAAAAAAAAGACTGTTCTCATTTACAAAGTCATTTTTTTCAAAGAAGAACAGTTTATATAAGAAGCTGTTTCATGGTACTGAATTTGTTGAATGAGTCTCTAGTCACCTAGGAGCCTGGTGAAAAACACATATTTCTGAGTAATCCCCAGGATGTTCAGAGTTCCAAGTCTCTAGGTTTATTAATTTGTATTTAAATAAACAATTAGGCACAAAGTTGCCCTGGGTATTAATCCTTCAATAATTTACTCCCTAAGTTAGTTTCCTTTTGACCTGGGGACTCTCACGACAACTTAAGCTTACAAAGAATACCGCCCGTCTAGGTTCCACAACCACCTTTTGTTCTCATGGGGACTGTCTTAACTTTGTCACACTGTTGGCAGCTCAAGTGCCCACGAAGCTTTTTGTTTGGTGGAAGTTCAGACAGGTCAGGCAGGTGCCACGTGAAGCCTTTCTTCAGCTTCGACAGCAGGGGGCAGCCTTTCCTCATTTTTTCGTTCGACTTAACCAGCTGCGCTCAGCGTGGCCACTTGAGGGGGCAAGAAGAATGTCACAGTGCTCAGGGAACCCAAGGGAAAGCTTGCTGGTCACCTGTGTGCCTTTCTCAAGGTGGGTGTTGGGAGGTAGGGAGGAGGCCCGCAAATGACATCTATGTGTAACTTTTTAAACCTTTTAAGCATGTGAATTGATTTTTTTTAACCCAAACTTTGTCTCCTAATTTCCCAGATGTAACTGACGTCTGAAGAGGCTAAAGGGTCCCCCAAAGTGGCAGGAGACAAGGAGAAAGGGCTGGAACCAGCACTCCGGCCTCCTCATTTACGGCCCGATCCGGGACTCTCACAGGTGCTGCTCCTGAGCTCTGACGCCCTACTCCTCGGGCAGTCTCACCTCCAGGAGCCAGACTGAGGGCTCTCTCCCACACCCTCTGTTTAGAACCTTGGGCAAGTTACTGGATTTTTAAAATACCCCAGTCTCCTTAACTGCCTGCAATGAAGGAGACTCGGGTTCCCTGGGTTGGGAAGATCCCTTTGAGAAGAGAATGGCTACCCACTCCAGTATTCCTGCCTGGAGAATTCTAGGGACAGAGGAGCCTGGTGGGCTACCGTTGTTGAGGTCACAAAGAGTCAGACATGACTGAGCAACACTCCTTAACTTAAAATGGGAATGATGATGATAAAATAAGACCTACCTTATGGAGCTCTTGTGAGACATAAATAATACACCTAAAGGTTTATTGGACTTCCCAGGTGACGATAATGGTTAAAGAACCTGCCTGCCAATGCAGGAAACGTTAAGAGGCATGGATTTGACCCCTGGGTTGGGAAGATCCCCTGGAGAAGGGCATGGCAACCCTCTCCAGTAGTCTTGCCTGGAGAATCCCATGTACAGAGGAGCCTGGCAGGCTATAATCCATAGGATCGCAAAGAGTTGGACACGACGAAGTGAGTTAGCATGCACACATGCAAAAAGGTTTGTCATATGCCTGCCTATAGTTAGTAAACGTGTTGGTGACTGCTGTTTTCACAGACAGTACTGGTCTAGGGCTCTCTCTACCACATTGGTTCTCAAGCTCTGACATCCATCAGGATGTCTTGGAAGTCTTGTTAAAAGCAAGCTGCTCGGCTCCATCTAAGAATTTCTACTCAGTAGGTCTGGGGTGGAGCCTAAGAATTTGTGTTTCTCCTAAATTCCCAGGCAATTCTGGTCCTGCTGGTCCAGGGACCACACTTTGAGAACTGTTCTTCTGGAAGACCTTTTCTTCTAGCTCATACTTCATTCATTCAACCCCTGGCTGCCTATTATATCTCAGCTGTTGTTTAATCCGTAGACATACCAGGATGAGTAAGATAAACCATCTTCTATAAGAAGCTCATGGTTGAAGTCCACAGTAGGCACATCTATATATACTAAGCAGCATGAGCAGAACTGTGATAGAAGTAAGCATGGAAGAGAATGAGGACTCCTTACTCAGACCAGAGGGTCATGGAGCCAGTGCAGGGGTGTGGGGAAGAGAATGGGAAGCAGGAAGTCAAGGACTTTTTTGAAGAGGGTGAACAGGTGGGTGGACAGGGCATCGTGCCAAATGGACCAGTAGTGTCTAGAGCTGAAGGTCAGAGGTGCATGGCTTGTTGAAAGAACCCCCAGCACTTCTGAGCCCTGGGGCACCGCAGGGGAAGGGAGGGGTGAGGAAACCCAGGCTGGAAACACAGGCAGAGCCAGGGCTGGAAGAACCGTGCATCTCTGGGATGAGGAGCTTGGCTTGTACTTCAAAAGCTGTGAGGCATCAGGAAAGGTATTAACCAGAAAGCAAACAACACATAGGACCCCTCTGAGCACAGGCTTAGAAGACTGCAAGGAGATAAGTGTCCCTCAGGAAGTGCTGCAAGGCAGGGGACGAGCTGGAGAGATGTTGAGGAGCAGGACTGACGGACTGCAGCTGGAGGGCCCATGAGGTGGGAGAGAGGAAGCAGGGGTGGGGCTCGGGGGCTGGGCAAACAGAGCCCAACTCCAGATCTGTCATTTGCTGGACGAGGGACGTGGGTGAACTGACAACCTTGTCTGAACCTCTGTTTCCTTGTCTGTGTCTCTGGAATAATAAACACTGCAGAGGTAGAGGGAACTAAATGTGAAAGTGCCTATCAAGGACTCAGGAGGGTGTTCGTATCATCACGTGGGAAGAACAGAAGGCAGATTTCTCAGGAGTGGGAGGGAGAGAGACCCAGGGAGCTCTCATCTCCCTCAGGCACATGAGCTGGTCCTGGGAAAACAGGGGCCAGCAGGGCCACCTGCTTCCAGGAGGGAGCATATGCTGGGGACACTGAATGGACTCAGCAAAGGCCAAGGTGATTGGCAGGTGCTTCCCTAGGTGTGGGGACCAGTGAGAGGAGGTGTGGGATCTTACAGACCATGCCCCACACATGTGCACATGTGAGCATGCATGTGTACACATCAGCCCCGCACTCATGACCAGAGACAAACCAAGGCCAATGCAGCCTTCTGGAACGAAGTTTCTCCAGGAACCCCTCTCCCTGATGATATTTTCTGCCTTCCTTCTCTTTACATGTGAGCTTCCCTGGGGGCTCAGATGGTAAAGAATCTGCCTGCAATGCAGGAGACCTGGCTTCAATCCCTGGGCTGGGAACATCCCCCAGAGAAGGAAATGGCTACCCACTCCATCTGGAAAATCCCAAGGACAGAGAAACCTGGTGGGTTACAGCCCACGGGATCCCAAAAGAGTTGGACACGACTGAGCAACTTTCACTTTGCTGTTATACCAGTGTGCCCTGGAACACACTGGGGAAGTGGGGTGCTCCACTCATCTGTAAGGGGTATTGTCCTATCTGACCCCGGGTGGGAGGACGTTTCCCAGAGTAGGGGTGGGGGTTGAGGAAGCAGGTACACAGCTGGGCAGGTGGAGCACAGTCACTTTATTAGCATAATGATGGCTGAGGGGCGGGGCTTTAGCTGTTAGCGGCAATGGTCTCCTGAATCCAGTCCACGTAGTTGCAGACCTTGGTGTAGACCCCAGGCTTGCCCTTCTGGGCACAGCCATAGCCCCAGGACACAATGCCCTGGAGCTGTCCATTGCAGGCCACAGGGCCACCAGAGTCACCCTGGGGAGGAAGTGATGAGATAAGCTTTATAAACAGAGGAGACAATGGAATGGGAGCCACACAGTCTGAACCTCACAAGACCCTGCTCCCATTGGCTCTGGGCCCCAGGCCCTTCTCACTGTGAAGAGAGGCCACAGCTGAGCCTCCCTTGTTTCTCCAGGGGGCCATTAGCCCACGGCCCTGGGTGTTCTATATCCTGCCCCCAAGGAGGCTGCCACGTCTGGGCAGGCATCTTACCTGGCAGGAATCCTTGCCTCCCTCCAGGAAGCCAGCGCAGACCATGTTGTTGGTGATCTGTCCAGGGTACGAGGCTTCACAGTCGGCGTGACTCAGCAGCGGGGCCTCCAGGCATTGCAGCAGTTCCGGGTAGTTGACTTTGAGAAACAGGAAGAGATCAAGAAAAGGAAAATGTGGGTTAGGATGGGAAGGGGGATGGTAACCCAGGGCTGAGCCCTGAGGGCAACCAGGAGAGGCCCCTTACAAAAATTGAATTTCAATTCCCGGCAGGCTCACTGTGGACCCCTCTCTAAAGGTGCTAAGAGCTGGGGCGACATCTGTCCTGTCTTTTGATTCTCGGGCTCAAGTCTGGGACACTTGCCCCTCTCTGGTACCCAGCACAGAGTCCTGCATGTGTAGTAGGTACTTGACGGGAATTTATAGGCTGGAAGCAAAGACTGGAGCCGAGCTCAGGCGATGCTCGGTTCTGGGCAGTGTGGGTAGGTCAGAGGGTGAAGACGTGAGGGTCCCACTCACCGCCACTGCTCAGGGTGTTGCCCCAGCCAGAGATGAGGCACTCGGTGCCCGCAGGTGCACAGGCGCTGGGCAGAGCCAAGGTGGACACCCGGGCATTGATGACCGCAGGCTTGGAGAGTTTGATCAGCAGGATGTCATTGTCCAGAGTCCAGCTGCTGTACTTGGGGTGGCGGATGATCTTGGACGCGTCGATGAACTGCTCACCACCTTCCACGACGTCGATGTTGTATTCTCCCAGCCTCACCTGGATGCGGCTGTTGAGGGCAAGCACCGTAAAGACCTTTTTGTCCACAGGCCAACATCCCACAGGGGTTTTCCCTGCTCACAGGTGGGGGTGTAGGAATGTCAAGGGCTGTAGAGGGGTGGTAGGCCAGTGCAGGTATGAGACCAACAACCTCTGTGCTTCGGGGTGGTGTAGAAGTGATGCGTTGAAGGGGTCTGGCTAAGGACCATCTGCTTTTCCAGACGCCTTTTCCACACCCCTCATGCATTCAGTGCCCAGTGCCCTGGACGCAAATGCACTATTTCAAGTTCCCCAGACATCCTTCAACCTCCGCAACCTTGAAAACTACATGCAGTCACAGTCACTTTTACTCCCTCCCTTCTTGATCTGGTCAGGGCCACCATCCTGTGTGATCTGATTTGTCTGTCCATCCTAAGTCTTTCATTCGCGTCCAACTCTGTGACTTCATGGACTGTAGCCTGCCAGGCTTCTCTGTCCATGGGATCCTCCAGGCAAGAATACTTGAGTGGGTTGCCATGCCTTCCTCCAGGAGATCTTCCCTACCCAGGGATCAAACCTGTGTCTCTTACGTCTCCTGCCCTGGCAGGTGGGTTATTTACCACTAGCATCATCTGTGATCTAATACAGCACTTCTCAAAAAACAGTCACAGGACCTGCACCATCAGTCACCTGGGAATGCATTAGCAACTCAGATTCTCTCTTCTGCCCAGACCTACTGCATCTGAAACCCTTGGGGTGGGACCCAGCAACATGTGTTGTAACAGGCCCTCCAGGTGATTATTACGTGCATTTAGGTTAGAGAACCCTTGCTTTTGGCAGTGATTCTCAGCTCTGCCCAGGAGTGCAGAAAATTGCCAGAGGCAGAGAGCGTTGAAAACTCACCAATATTCAGACTTGTCCTAAAAATTCTGAGCTAAATGGGAACTAGGGATCATATATTTTTTTAAATATATCTTACAAGGTTTTAACATGTAGCCAATTGGCAAGGGTTATTTGTGTGAGGTCTATGCCAGCTTTTCCCACTGGCTATTCCCACCTTCAAAATAGTTTGTGCCTACTTTTTATGGGAATTTCCAGGTGGCACCAGTGGTAAAGAACCAGTGCAAGCCAAAGCATAAGACCCGGGTTCTATCCCTAGGTCGGGAAGATCCCCTGGAGTAGGGCATGGCAACCCACTCCAGTATTCTTGCTTGGAGAATCCCATGGACAGAGAAGCCTGGCAAATGCCCCTCTTCACCCACAGCTCCTGCTGAGTCAGCTGCTGTTGCCCACATCTTCTCTTCCCCATCATCGTTCTGAGCTCTGGACGGACCCCAGCTCTTCCAGAGGGCCCTGGGCAGTGGGCTTAGTCGCCAGGGGCCCAGGACTTACTACTGGTAGCAGTGAGCCGCGGACACCACCCACTGGTCACTGATGAGGGAGCCGCCGCAGAAGTGGTAGCCAGCGTTCAGGGACACCTGGTAAGGCACGGAATTCTCCGCGCAGGTGTAACCCCCGACGATCTTGTCATCGTCGTCCGAGGGGAAAGCCACTTGAGTGGAAACAGGGGAGGAGAGGCTGATGCAGCAGGAGGGTGGAGCCCCGAGCCCCGTGGCTGGACTCTGCTAATCAGGATTCCTGACTGAGCACAGGGAGGGCAGGAAGGCCACCCTGGCTGGTCTCCCAGCGGGTGGTTCTGCTGAGTCGCTGTGTGTCTGCAGGGTGCAGAGCTAGGCAGCCTGCAGGGGCTCCAGCCCAGACCTCCACCGGAAGCACCAGGGCAAGGACAGCAAACCTACTCAGCACCGGGGGGTCTGAATGCGGTCCTCCCACCCACTGGCTGCTTCTATCCTTTTATTCATCACCAGTCTACTCCCCGCTGCAGTTTCAGCCCCGTTTTGCCACGATGGGTTGGCCTCACCAGGGAGATGTGGCTGCAAAGCCCTGGCTTTGCTGTACCAGCTCCTCCCATAGCTCACACCTGAGCAGGGATCCCAGGCACGCTTTGCGCAGGATAAAGGTGGTTACGGTTATTGGCCAATAGAACAGTGATTCGCAGCTGTGGCCATACACCCGGGGATCTTAAAACTATTCAGGAAGCTTAAAAAAGTCAGTGCAAGGGTCACACCCCCAGGCCAGTAAACGGCTCCACCGTGAGTCACCTTCCGTCTCCCCAGCAGCATCCGAGGCCAGGAACAGCTGGCGTGGAGTTACCTACGGTTGTCACGGCCAAGCCTTAAGGCCTGGCTCATCTCACAGACCATCTCCACCTGGTTTGCGTTTCTCGCCTCTCCCAACAAAGCCCCAAAGTGGATGGATGAGAGGGATGGGAGTGGAACCCGGCACAAGGTGAGAGAAGTGAAGGTTAAAGAGCCCCACAGTGGGAAGGAGGGGTGCTGGCCCGGGAGGGGAGAACACACACAGGTAGAACAGGAGAGGCCGGAGGAGTGGTGAAGCGTGTATCTCTGCCAGGAGAGGGGCTAGTGGACCTTGAGCGATGCATGGGACTCACCAGCAGCTCCCACAAAGGCAAGGATCAGCAGGGGATGCATGGTGGAGAAGTGTGCTGGAGTGGCTGGTGGTGAGCCTTTATACCTCCCGAGGAGAGGGAGGGGGTGGAGGGGGACCACCCCTCCCAGTACAAACACACCTGCAGCTTCCCTTGGACTCTTGCATCAGTTCTGCTATGTTTGGCCACTCCATGGATTCATGACTTCCGGGTGATAAGGAAACTTATTTTCCAAGGACGCAGCGGAAGACTAGCTGACTCTTAGGAGGATATTCTGGGGTGAGGAATACAGGGGAAGCCAAGACCCCTCTTCCCACAGCTGAGCCTTCTTAAACCGAGCAGATGATGGATATGAGGAGGAAGAGAAGGCAGAATGACCTGGGACCCTGGGGATCCTCTGACCTCATGGAGATTTACTCAACTTACTTGAAGGAAGGGCTGATATTAGTAGCAAACTTGGCTGCTTGGTATCTTGAAGTCCCATGAGAGGAAAGAAGTCTTGACTATGTCATACCTGTAAACAAAAAGACTCCGGTTAAGTCTAAACTATGGGGTCAGAAGGTCAAAGCCCAAGCCTTAGGGAACCAGGACCCCAATACCAAGAAGTGATGAGATGGGAGAGGCAGAGTTTCTTGTGAGTCTGGGCCTTCAAACTGGCTCTCCTTCCTACCAGGGCTTGAGGGACGGGGTCAGGGGAGGCATTTGGAGGGAGGAGAGGCCAAGGATTAAGTAGGTGTTTACCTGATGCATTGGGGTAACAAGAGACCAGTATCGTATTTCTCCTCTTCCTCACTATCAAGACGCTTGTCTTTCTCATCGCTCAAGCAGCCTTGGGTTCTCTTTAAGCAGCCTTCTGTTCACCCTGGGAGCCTGCACTAACGGTGATGAAAATTGCCCCCACCTGCTAGGAGCTGACAGCCTGAGCCAGAATTATATGTTCCGGATCAGATTTTAGAAAAAAGGTTTGAACAATGGTAAATCTCGGTCCTTACCAGAGAATCAGCAGTAGGTAGAGAAATTGGGGCACGATAAAGGTTGAGAATGTGTGCACATGCGCTCAGTCGATCCGACTCTGCAGTCTCATAGACTATAACCCACCAGGCTCCTCTGTCCATGAAACTGAGTGACTAGAAACAACATTGAAGGTGGGGGGATTCTGAAATTTTCTTTCTTTCTTTTTTTTTTTTATGCAGTGAGACTCTTTTCCTGGGCTCAGTGAAGAGTGAATCTTCCTGGAAATGATCTCAATTTGCAACCTGCCATGCCCATCAAGACACAATCTTGTAACTTACTGAGGCACCACTTGGCCAGGGGGTATAGAGATGTAACTAGTGTCTGTGCTGGAACCTAATCTTGTGAGCCAGGTCAACAAGCCTTCACATGAAGAGGCTTCTCCTGCTCATCTCCTCTGAGCTCAGTGTTCCTGAGATAGGCAGGAGTGGGCAGAGTCTACATAGGTACTCTCGGAAAGGTAGAAATGAGCGAATGTTCTGAAGGTGGTGAACAAAGTCAAAAAGCTCAGAAGTCTGGTGGCAAGACAGGAAGTAGGCTGGAAGGACAGAGTAAATGGAAATAGAGTGAACTGGGAGAAATGGGGTGGAGAGGGACCCACAGGGTGACTTCTGGTCTGGTGCCTGGCATAGCTGGAAGCCAGCTATTCCACAACAGGACACCCACTCCGCAGAGCTGCATACCCTCTAACCCCTGATGGGCTCTTCTCTAGGTGGCCATACCGCTGTTTGTGTATAGCGCCCAGCAGCTTTTAAAGAGCTTTCACACACACAAGCAGCGGTGGCATGCTGATTTTCCTTTGTGTTGAATTTCAAGCTGCCCTTTGCATGTTTTCATCGTGAGGTGTGCAGAACAACATTATTTCCTGTTACAGAGGTTGAGACCAGGCGTCAGAAAGGTTCCATCATGCCTGAGAACATAGATCTAAAACTGGCAGAGCTGACCTCAATGCCGCCGGAGGACAGGGAAAGTGCTGTGAAGTGTGGGAACCACTGCAGATGGCAGCTCAGGGGTCATGCTAGGGAACAAACTACATCTGGATCCCTCCTGATGCTGGCTTCCTTGGCAGAGAAAGAAGCTTGAATTAATCTGGCACCTGCCCCCGCCCCCCCCCCCCCCAGCCCCACCTTGCTATGGCCTTGGGCCTCTCTGGGCCATGTCAAAGGCAGGTTGTGCTCACCCAGGTTGTGGCGCCTCCATCATAGAGGCTTTTTTTTTTTTTGCAGAAATATCATAAAATATGCTATTTCATTTTGCCCCCTTGTCGTGGGGCCTTCATAGGAAGCCTGGCTTTAGAGGATGAGAAACGTCATATCTGTTTCCTCTCCCAGCCTGCGGGGTGAAGGTGGGGGGCAGAGGGGGCCGGCTCATGTTTTGGGCCACCATTCTGCTCAGATAGAAAGGTAAGAGCCCCACCACCCACCACCTCCCTGTTAGAATGACTTGGCTCATTTCTAATGGCCTTACGTTGCCTGAACTCAAACGCTTTCTGTAGAGTTCTTCTCCAGGGCAATCCACATGGCTTGGGAGATTTTTCTTTCTTCTGGATCCTATTTATTGACTCAGTGGATTAGTTTGCTAGGGCTGCCATAACAAAATAATGGCAGAAATCCATCTTCTCACAGTTTTGGGAGCTGAGAAGTCCATGATCAAGGAAGGTGTTGATAGAAGAAACTTTCATATATTGATTCATGGAGAAGTCATTCTGGCTTATACATGAGTTAACTTGAATTTTATACCAACTAAAACAGCCTATTTGTGGCCTACCAAACATACCTTGTAGATCTGCTTTACTTAGTAAAGAAAAGGGCACGCTGACCGGAAGTAAAAGCTGTCTGTGTTAAAAGATAAAGTGCCTCCCTTCCTGGGACACAAGTGCTGGTGCTCCTTCGAGGACAAGATTCCCTTCCCAGGGGCCAGCACCACACTGACTCACTGAGTTCCGGCTGATCTGCTTTTTCAAACCTGGAGGGAATGTACTCCTGACTTGCCTAATGTTCTCTGTTCTGCCAAGATATAAAACTGGGCTGAAAACCCTGCTGCTCTGGAGCAGCTCCTCAGAGTTGTCTTAGAGGCTGCCTTTTGGGTTCTAGTCTTCAGTTTGGCTTAAATAAAACTTGTTTATATTCCTATTTCAGATCATTTATTATTTTTGTTAACAGTGTCAACAGGGTTGGTTTCTCCAGGGGTCTCTCTCCTTGGGTTGCCGACGCTCATCTTTTCACGGACTTCACATGGGCCTTTCCTCTGTGGGTATCTCCCCAGTAGCTCTCCTTATATATCCTAATCTCTTCTGATAAGGACAAGGTCAGATTGGCTTAAGGGCCACCCTAATGGCCTCAATTAAATTATTTATTTAAAGATCTTATTACATTCTGAGGGACTGGGGGTGAGGACTACAACATATGAATTTTGGAGGAACACAGTTCAGTACATACTGCTGTTACTGCAAAGTCACTTCAGTCGTGTCCGACTCTGTGCAACCCCATCCCTGGGATTCTCCAGGCAAGAACACTGGAGTGGGTTGCCATTTCCTTCTCCAATGCATAAAAGTGAAAAGTGAAAGTGAAGTCGCTCAGTCATGTCTGACTCTTTGCAACCCCATGGACTGCAGCCCACCAGGCTCCTCCGTCCATGGGATTTTCCAGGCAAGAGTACTGGAGTGGGGTGCCATTGCCTTCTCCGAGTTCAGTCCATAGCACTCAGGAAACATTTACCACATTCCTGTGATGTTCCTCTAATTTTTCAAACCTGTATGGAAGCAGCAAGGAAGATGATAGTAAAAGGTCCTTTCTTTCATGGCATCTGGGTGTATTTACAGACTTCCTTGGTGGCTCAGCAGTAAAAGAATTCACCTGCCAATGCAGGAGATGCAGGTTCAATCTCTGAGTCAGGAAGATCCTCTGCAGAAGGGAAATGGCAACCCATTCCCATATTCTTGACTGAGAAATTCCATAAACAGAGGAGCCTGACTGACTATAGTCCATGGAGTTGCAAAAGACTTGGACACAACTTAGCAACTAAATAACAATGTGTATTTATGTGTGTGTATGTCCACACATATGGAAGGAGATATAACTGTGAGAGGCAGACAGTACATTAAAAAAATATATATCTTTATATATATATATGTAATCTGTATATAATATATACAGTTGATCCTTGAACAACATGGAATTTGAAGTGCACAGGTCTGCTTATACATGGAATTTTTTTTTCAATAACTACTGTAGTATTACATGATTTGAGGTTGGTTAAATACAGGATGTGGAACTTTAGATATGAAGGAGTGCCTACAAAGTTACATGTGGATTTTCAACTGTGCAGATGGTTAGTGTCCCTAATCTGTACATAGTTTAAGGATCAACTATTTATATAAAACTATGATGATTAATTGATTATATTCTAATGATTCAGTTCAGTTCAGTTCAGTCGCTCAGTCGTGTCCGACTCTTTGCGACCCCATGAACCACAGCACACCAGGCCTCCCTGTCCGTCACCAACTCCTGGGGAGTTTACTCAAACTCATGCCCATCAAGTCGGTGATGCCATCCAGCCATCTCATCCTCTGTCGACCCCTTCTCCTCCTGCCCGCAATCCCTCCCAGCATTAGGGTCTTTTCCAATGAGTCAACTCTTCGTATGAGGTTGTCAAAGTATTGGAGTTTCAGCTTCAGCATCAGTCCTTCCAATGAACAACCAGGACTTATTTCCTTCAGGATGGACTGGTTGGATCTCCTTGCAGTCCAAAGGACTCTCAAGAGTCTTCTCCAACACCATAGTTCAAAAGCATCAATTCTTCGGCACTCAGCTTTCTTTATAGTCCAATTCTCATATCCCATACATGACCACTGGAAAAACCATAGCCTTGAACAGACGGACCTTTGTTGGCAAAGTAATGTCTCTGCTTTTTAATATGCTATCTAGGTTGGTCATAACTTTCCTTCCAAGGAGTAAGCATCTTTTAATTTCTTGGCTGAAGTCACCATCTGCAGTGATTTTGGAGCCCCCAAAAATAAAGCCTGACACTGTT